ACCGGCGAGGGGTCGAGGAAGCCGGGGTCCATGGTCGCGTCGCTGCCGATCCTCACCGACAGCAACCGATCTTCTGTCTGCGTCTAGGCACTGCCGCGCCATGCTCCGTGGCGCGGCACTGCCGCGCTAAGATCGGTGGCGCGGCAGGCTCTGCCACGTCACCGGTCAGCATTTGCGGTCGTCGCCACGTCAGCCACCTGTCGCGCCACCATGCATGGCGCGGCACAGGATTTTCGCCGCGCCATGGCAATAGGCGCGGCCAAAAGTATTAGTTTTGAAGAAAAAAAACAATATTAGATTTAAAATTAGTTTAAAAAAGTGTTAAAAAAATTCTGATTAAGCAGGCTTTGTTCATTGATAGGACCGCCGTCCTCCGTCTCTGCATGCGTACGTGGCATCAGGGAGCAGCGAGACACGCACAGCGCCATGCATGCCGGACGAAGCGCGCGCCAGCCGCAGTTGGGACGACGACGACGACGCGATGCCCACCGACGAGGGCGCATGCTTGGCAAGCTTGCTAACCGGCCACTGTTGCTCCTCCATACAGTGGTGCATGCACAGTAGTATTGTATCCTCCTTGACTTTGAATATATCACGTCGATCGAACATGGCTTCAATTCATTCGATCAAAAGTTTCTGAAGATGCTTAGCTTGCTTGCTTGGACAAAGCAAAAGTACTGCATGTATGAATGTATAATATAATCTGCATACATGCATAGGCAGAGCCCCAACCTAAACTGCCACATGCTGCCTACAGGTAAGCAAACTATTCACAGCACCTATACCTACACTACGAAAGACTACGACATACAGAGTGTGGGAATTGGTGTCAAGCAAAACCCTAGAATAGAGGAGAAGTATACTACTATAAAAACTGGTTGGTCAAACAAAATAGGATCAAATCTGGGAGTGCAGATACGATCCCCCGTATCTTTAACCTTAACAAGTAGCGCACGCGGATCACGCCTCCAAATATATGCTGGCATGCATGCAAGCATATGGACACCAACACGCACCGAATGAAGATCAGAGCTGCTCGCGTGAGGCCTACGCGGGCCGCGCCGACCGATATATTAGAAATCATACACGGGCCTCCCTCGATCCAGGGTTGCGACGTAGTATTGGACTATTGGTGCAACGGAAGGACCACAGCACTGAATAATACTGTGAGCTCTAGGAGCTAAAGAAGCTAGCCACGCAAGCTGCCTTTGAGAATGAGAGAGATCATGTGCCGGACGGACGGCCTTGCATTGCTGTGCAGGGCCACTACTGCCACTGCATTGGCCGGCCGGCCGGCCTAATGCTCTTTTAATTTGGCACTTGCATGCATGCTTTACCTGCAGGATCAACGGGATCGAGCAAATTAAAGCACCCGGCGGCGCCACGCACTTGCTGGATACTACTATGATGGTGGCGATCTTCTTCGGCGGTTCTGACTGGCGCGCATGTGATCTCTCTCCTTGTAGCCTCCAAGTGTGACAGGCTTAAAAATATTAGGGTTCATCAGTCGCGCTCATGCATGCATGCATCCCAGGATATATATATATATATATATAAAGCGATCGATCCAGAGAGACTACTGAGAGAGACAGATCAGAGCTAGGTAGACTGGTAGAGAGGTATTGGTTATATATTCACAAGACCAGGGGGCGTGTAGTGCTAGCCGTGCACCCCCGCCCCGGCCCCTTGCTAGATCACGAACCAATGATTTGTTATATGAAAACCTGCAAAAGCGGCCGTGCTTTTCCTGCAGGTTTGAGGTTAAGTGGTTGGCCGGGAAAGCCATCTTTTGCCCCCGCCCAATTATTCCAACGCCGACGGCTGGTGTGGCTTGTGCCGGTGCCGGTTTCTTTTGGGCACACAGCAAGCTACTACACCACTTCGATCATGGGCTTGCACTTGCACACATACACACACCACCTGCATCTTTCCACGCATGCACCGGTAAAAAGAGCAAAGCCATCAGCATTAGCAAGGTCCCCGCCATGTAATTAAACGACTACGATATACTACTACTACTCCACATGTAATAGTATATGTAGTATGATCATGCATATGACCCAGAATCTTAGGGCTGCTGTGTGCATATGAAATTTGCAAAAACGCGTACGGATCGAGATCTGTTGCTAGACGTAGATGTGTGACTTTGCTTGGCTTTTTCAAGTTTAATCCGGTTTCTAAGTGGCTGCTGGGATACTCGATGGATCGCTTGATTGTGGTCCTGTGCCTCTGTTTGTACGTTGTTTACACTAATTAATTGAGCTGGTGTCACTTTGTCTCGTTGTGTGCTGTTGTGACTTGAGCACTGATGAGCTTCCGGGCTAAGGCATCTACGAGTACACTACAAATATATTTCTCTGCTACTAGTTCGAGCTAGGCTGCCTTAAAAGTACATTGTGTGAGCCGATAAAAAAGTACATTGTGTGAGTGTGATGTTAGTTGTTTTTGCCGATGCTCCTGGTCCAGAGGCAAGCCCCCCCCCCACACACACACACCATCACCGTCATCGTCGGGCACGCCACGCATGTGTATGTTGAGGGCAGAAAGATATATAATGCAACAAAATTTCTACACAACTCTAGGAACATCGTCGTTCATATGTAGTGCACTAGATCTTCAATTCTTCTTGTTAACAATTCAGAGAATACATCTTTTGATTGTAATTCAATTCATGACGATCATAAGTAGAAAGTTCATATATATGAGTTACTCCCTCGGTTTCAAAATACGTACATGTCGTTTCTTTAGAATATTGATGTGCATGCATGGTCTTCGATTTCATTGAAATAATAGGGTTCTTTTTTTCTTTTGGGTCGACTGGGGAGTTTTTACATCACGCTCGAGCAGTAGAATTCTACATATTGTCTAATTGCAAAAAATATGAAATGTTCTGACTAGTGCTTTTGTTCATGTATTTTTAATTCCTCTTGTCTAATAAAAATTGCAGCAAAACCCTTACCGCCCTTTCAAAAAAAAAGTGTTCTGAATTGTGGAATAAATTAAAGGATTGGAAATTTATGATAAACCTACTACAATATATTTCATAAAAATAAAAGTACTACTACTACTACTATTAATATGTATTTTCCATAGTCAATTAATTAATCTGTATATTGATACGATGTTCATCAGAGTTTCGAGGTTTTGAGCAGCAGGAATCGTTAAAAAATCAAATCAAATAAATTCAGAAACGTTCTTGTATCAACAGCTAGATGATACTATTAAGTAGTAATTCCATTTGCACGCAGTTGCACGTGTAGCAAAAGTTGTATTCTTGCGAGCGAGACTGTGCCGAATGGGTGGATGCATATGCATAAGCATGGCCCTGTTGTGGTCACCTCATCAGCCGGCCTACACTGCAGTCTGCAGTCTGCAGTAGCCAGTAGGGTTCCAGCTCCGGCGGCTGATACGCCGAATCGCTGCACGCAGCTAGCGCCTATCAAACAAGCAGCATCAGCAGCAGGGAAAGGGAGAGGCCCGATCGATCGAGCCCATCGCGAGCGAGGGCCGGCGGCAGCGCCTGGTCAGAGGCGGCATGTGGCCTGAGGCCTGGCCTCCGCGCGCGCGCATGCAGTCTCAGTCTCAGACTGCGCGCGCGGCTGGCGAGGAGCGCTCGCCCGGCGCAGCGGCAGCACCGGTACGTTGCCTCGGGGGCGCGACCTCGGTCACTAGCTCCTGTGCCCACTTGCTTGAATTATCCCATCGCCTCGCATTCAATCATGCGCGTCTCTCCCGGCGGGCCGGCCTGCGCTGCTCCACCGTTGCCGTCCCGGCGTCCCCGGCTGCCCTGGGCGGCCGGCCCAGCTGCAGGTGCAGGGGGCCATGTGCATGGATCCTTGCCGTTTTCACCCACCGTACCCGACCCGACGCTGCGCCTGCCTCTCTGCCTGCGAAAAGGTGGCACGGCTAGCCAAGTACTTGTACCCCTACCGCATGCATGCATGCTCCCAGCAGATCCCACATCTTTTTGGCTCCTTGCCATTCATGGTGATCATCCTCCCATGCATCTAATCTCGTTTAGTATTTGCTTGGGAAGCCATCGCCATTTCGTTCAGAGCAGCAGTAGTGGAGGGTGGTTAGCTATTATACATACTCCATCGATCTTGTTGATCCTTCGGCTGGCCGGCTTCCGATTCTTTCTCTGTTGGTGTATAGTTGCTGTTTGCGAGCGAGGATCTGATGGCCGGTATGATTCAATGTGCATGGGTGGGATAGATAGCCGGCCATTGGAAACTTCATTGAACACAATCAATCTGTCTATGTGTCTGAAGATTCAGCAGGCTCGGTCGGTCGTGCCGGCCGGGCGACCGATCGACCACCGGCGGGCCTGCTAACTCCGCATGCATCTCTGCTGACAGGTGCATGTTGCATTTACAACAAACTAGCAGCCGCTAGGCGCTGGCTGGTCCAAACTGCACTGCACGCACTGTGCATCGTGTTGTTTCGGTTCCTTCCACGCCGGCCGCCCGGCTCCGGTTTCCACCAACCAAAGTAATTGCGATCGATCCATCGATCAGTGTACGTGCTGCGGCATCTGCATGCGTGCCCACACCTACACTCAGATTATTGCATTGCCTTGCCAACAGACCATGCAAATACGTACGTAGTATACATGCACGAGAATGATGACGACAATGCACGCATGGCATGTATAGACGAAAATAAGCTAGAGGTTATTTGCTCTATTATCCTCTCCATTTCTCCAGTACCACCAACTGCTAATTACAAGACGACCTTGCCGGCCGGAAGGACCTATAGTAACAAGGGACCCCCTTCCAAAGACAAGGCCGATCGAGCAGCTAGGTTGTTTCTCCATCGCACGCACTGCATGGCCATGTAGTAAGCGACCATATGCGTGCAGCAGCAGCAGCAGGTTCTAGGTAGACTACAATGCATCGAGGAGCAAAAAGAAAACAACAAAAAGGCCAGCAGGTGTATCTTAGCGCCTCTCTTGTTGTTGCTCGCCATCCACATCCTCTTTGCTAGCTACATCGTAATAGCTAGGTCATCATCTTCATTGTTGGCGCGTCCCCCTTGGACTTCGCCAGCTTGCGGAGGAACTCCTTGACCTACACACATCACAATAAAGAACATATATAAACGATCAGTTAATCGAAGTCAACCAGCTAATCAAACCCATCATTTACCAACAATTGTCCAGCAGTAACCCATAGCATGATAATGAGAAAGATCTAGATGGGATATATCCACTGGTGCTCTCTCATTTTCCCGAAAGTGACGACTATGGCCTAACTTTTAATCTTGAGCAAGTTAATGATTGAAGAGCTAGAACGAACTAGTTGGCAGTCACCGTCACAAGTGCCTGCATAAGGTTCCGAGATCCTTTAGGATTTATGCGCGCTGTTCGATCGCTTTCTGACCGATCGGGCGTGAAAGCGAGATTCTTACCTCGGCAGGGTCACTCAGCGAGTAGGATGCCGCCGTCTCCTTAGGGAGCTTGGACACCAGGATTCCGATGCCCTGCCCCATGTTGCGAAGCACCTATATATACGCATGTCGACAAGAGAGCTCAAAGCGTCACTACCACACACATATATATAGTGCTTGTACTAGAAACAGAACTAGGCATCAGAAGCTTCTGTCTTTCATTTTCCTAACACAAAGTTACCTACTAGCTATCTAGTAGCTTTTGTTTATCTCATCATCCCTGCAACTTAATCATTCTTTCTTACAACATGGAGTAGTGTACTCCTATATGGGAGTGTAGTTAGTATACATATATACCTTGAAAGCGTCCTCGTCAGTGCGATCATCTCCGATGTAAATCGGGAAGAAGTCGTTGCGCCCAGCATAGCCTGCAAATAAAATTAAAATGTCTAGAAATAGTTAGTTTTCACCCGTGTCATCAGTAGACTGATGGTACACGATGGAGTAATCGTGTCGACATGTGTACAGTTGTTTAATTTTGCAGACTACTGACCAAGAGACTTGAGCAAGAACTCAAGGGCCTTGCCCTTGTCCCACTTGATGGACGGGCGAATCTCCAGGACCTGCATGCATGAGAAGAGCCGCAGTGCGTGAGCGAGCATGCATTACTCAATGATATTCTGCTCGGGAGGAAAATTCAATGATAATATTCCAATCCGTATCTGATATGATATGAATATGATGCGCTCCCCACCTTTCTGCCGTGAGTGAGCTTGAGGTTCGGGTAGTCCTTGAGCACCGACCTGACCTCCTCGTTCACGGCATTCCATTCCTGCCGACGCGAATATATACAATCGATCAACGAAAAGCAATCAGCAGTAGTAATTATTTTATTCCAAAAATAAATCACTGCAGTTAAGAGTGAAATATTTGTTCTATCAACAGGGGTGGCACAGAATTAATGCGACGGCTGAGTCGCAAGCTGCCAAACTCCTCTCCTGTAAAGTGTACGGGTGGTGACTGGTGAGGGTGCTGTCACGTGCTATACCTCCTCCCGGACGCAGCGGAAGTGGACGGAGAGGCAGTACTTGTTGTGCTCCACCTTGGCGCCGGCGATCGCCTCCATCTTCGTCGTCAGCGTGCCAAACACCTGCGGGGGCAGCCAACACGTACGTGAGTGACATCAGGGTTCGTTTGGTTGCATATGCTACCGCACTACTAGCTGGCTGGCGGCGGAGGCGTGCGAAGACGACGAGCGAGCGAGCGAGCGTGCGTGCAAGCAATAAGCAATAGCGGAAGACGACGACGGAGCGGCCGTCGCACGCTTGGCTTGCTTACCTCTTCGATGACCGGCAGGAACTCACTCCCAGCTTGGAAATGGACAACTTCAGCCTGCATGTATAATATATACCGGAGTCAATTAGTCAGTCAAGGGCATGCTCGCTGACGTGGACAGTAACTAGTCAAGGACATGCAACGAAAGGCTACAACTAACAACATTTGCCTGGAGGTGGTTGGCGGGGCCCTGGATGTCCATGCCATGGCTCCCGGCGTAGTACAGCTCCGTCAGCTTCACGAAGTTGAACACCTATAAATTGCACCAAGGCCATGGCCATAAATACAACAAGCACATCACTCCACCACTCCTCCAGTACTCCACTGCGGTCAGTGCTACTACGTACGTGCTCTACTGCTAGCAAACAAAACAAAAGGCGTGCGGACTCGCAGAAAAGAGAAAGGTAGTAGCAGTAGTAGCCGGTGCAGACAAAGGAAAAGAAAAAGGCAGGAAAAGGTGGATGCAAGGAAACCCAGAGGAGAAAGAAAATAAGCGCGCTTCTCCTCGTTCTCCGCACGCCTGCTGATGCCCCGCCCCGGCGGCGGCTTCTCCGTCCGTCCCATGGATGGAAAGCATGCACGACTGCACGCACGTCGCACGGCCCCGGCCGGCGCGCGCGTCCAGGTTCACGATCACAGGCAGACGCCCTGCCGTGTCACCGTGTGCATGTGGACGGACGCGGCCGCGACGCGAGGTGAAATGAAATCTCGCTGGCCGGGTAGAAAAGGAAACCTGGAAGAATCTTTTTCCAGTTCGTGTGCAGGAGTGGCAAGCAGCAGTACTACATACAGCGTGCAACTGCAAGGCGCCAAGGCCATGGCCACCACACAAGACAACAAAAACTTTTTTTTTCTTTTTTGCCCAACATAGTACAGAAGTAGTAGTAATTGCAGAAGCAAAGAAGGGAAAGGAGGAGGAGTTCGTGGAATCGGAATCGGAATGTACCTTGTCCCTGCATCTTCCGCTCACAATCGCGGTGGGGAAGTGCTCGGCGACACGCCGCACGGCTTCTCTCATCTGAGCGAGGTGAAAAAGGAAAGAAAATCACAGAGCGGTGATTAGCTAGATTATTATTACAGCGGGGTTTTGTTACTGCCGTAGTAGGAGAAGGGAGAAGAGAGAAGAGGAACTTTTAAAAAAGGAATCATTTTGCATCGGGAAGAAAAGAAAACGGGGCGAAGATCGCTGACCGACCTCCTCCGACATGACGGCGCGGTCGGGGTCCTCGACGATCGGTGACAGGGTGCCGTCGTAGTCCAGGAACATCACGATCTGCTTCCCCTTGGCGGCGGCGAGCAGCGACTCGAAGCTGGCCAATGCCGACGGGTGCTTCTCCTGCAGATGCAGCCGGCCGGAAGTGAGGCGTGGATCGATCGATCTCGCTGCGCGCGCACAGAAGCGGCGGCGACGCGCGGCTGGGGGTACGTACCATCCAGTCGTTGCCGTGCTCGGCGTCGGCGTCGCACCGCGGCGAGGAAGCCTTCATGGACTCGAACCAGGAGCCACCCACGACGGCGCCGCCGGAAGCGGAGAGGTCAACGGCGGCGTGCTTCTTGCAGTCGAGGGGGGCGCCCTTCAGCGGCGGGAACGACGTGAAATGCCGGCCGGCCGGCGCCGGCGCCGCCACGGCGGCGACCACGTCCTCGCTGGGGTAGGCGGCGTGCTTCGTCATGGCTCGTCAGATCAGCCGCGGGACGGCAGCTACTGCTGCGCCGGAACAGGAGGTGTTGGCTACAGAGCGAGGAGGACTGGAGGAGGAGGTGCTCTCTGTGATTGCGATGGTTGTCACGAGCGCAGGGATGGGTGGATTGGTGGTGTGGTCTTGGGGACGGCGTGAACAGGGGCATATATAGCTAGGGGAGGGTGGCCCCACCTACAGGGTTTTTTCTCATGGGAATAGCATTTGTTGTTCTTTTGGCTGCTGGGTTGGTTGGGGAAATTCAATACAAAATAGAGATAGATTAACCTTTCATTTTGGTTTTTAGTAGTTTCTGACGCATGAACGACTGTACAATTGTTGAAGTTGCCGTGTCCCCTGCCTATCCACCATATTACCGACATGTCGCACGTAAGGTGTGTAAGCGTGCTAGAGAATGTTTGTGGCAGACGGTGGCGTAGTATCTATGATTTACGACAACCACGACAAATGTTATGGTTTCTTGTAAGTAATCTTCTTAGCCGGTTACCATTAATCACGGAACAGCTTTCGGTTTTAGATAAATATAATTATAAAAACTTAGCGGTGGAGGTTTAAGTATAAAAATATTATTAGAGATATTATATCGGGTAGCAAAATATTGGTTCTTAATATAGAAGTTCCACCTTCTCACCGAAGATAAACATAGCTTGAGTGCACGTTTCATTGGTCCATCTTCATAGAACCACATATATTCTTGAATGAGCAGTAGATATTATAGTTTCATGAGTAAAAAAAGCTATATGTATGTGAACAATGGTGATTTTAGAGAGAGAATACCAGATGCTATTAATAAGTTACTTAGGCCAAATTGTGGTGAAGGAAGGCCAGTAATTTCTGATGCTTGAATGACTCTACAATTCTTAAAGTGTCGTGTAACGACAAGCAGTGTCCCTACGTATCCACCATATGTATTGACAAGTTGCACGTAAGGTGCGCTAAGCGTGCTAGAGTACCTTTGTCTGCAGACGGTGGCGTTGTATCGATGATTTACGACAGCCATGACAACTGTCATGGTTCCTTGTAAGTAATCTTCTTAGCCGGTTACCATTAATCATGGAAAAGCTTTCGGTTTTAGATAAATATAATTATAAAAACTTAGCGGTGGAAATTTAAATATAAAAATATTATTAGAGATATCATATCGGGTAGCAAAATATCGGTTCTTAATATAGAAGTTCCACCTTATCACCGAAGATAAACATAGCTTGAGTGCACGTTTCGTTGGTCCATCTTCGTAGAACCACATATATTCTTGAATGAGCAGTAGATATTATAGTTTCATGAGTAAAAAAAGCTATATGTATGTGAACATTGGTCATTTTAGAGAGAGAATACCAGATGCTATTAATAAGTTACTTAGGCCAACCAAATTATGGTGAAGGAAGGCCAGTAATTTCTGATGCATGAATCACTGTACAATTGTTGAAGTTGCCATGTAACGACAAGCGGTGTCCCCTACCTATCCACCATATTACCGACAAGTAGCACGTAAGGTGTGTAAGCGTGCTAGAGAATGTTTGTGGGCAGACGGTGGCGTAGTATCTATGATTTATGACAGCCATGACAAATGTTATGGTTCCTTGTAAGTAATCTTCTTAGCCGGTTACCATTAATCACGGAACAGCTTTCGGTTTTAGATAAATATAATTATAAAAACTTAGCGGTGGAAATTTAAGTATAAAAATATTATTAGAGATATCATATCGGGTAGCAAAATATCAGTTCTTAATATAGAAGTTCCACCTTATCACCGAAGATAAACATAGCTTGAGTGCACGTTTCGTTGGTCCATCTTCGTAGAACCACATATATTCTTGAATGAGCAGTAGATATTATAGTTTCATGAGTAAAAAAAGCTATATGTATGTGAACATTGGTGGTTTTAGAGAGAGAATACCAGATGCTATTAATAAGTTACTTAGGCCAACCAAATTGTGATGAAGGAAGGCTAGTAATTTGTGATGCTTGAATGACTCTACAATTCTTAAAGTGTCGTGTAACGACAAGCGGTGTCCCTACGTATCCACCATTTGTATCGACAAGTTGCACGTAAGGTGTGCTAAGCATGCTAGAGTACCTTTGTCTGCAGACGGTGGCGTAGTATCGATGATTTCCGACAGCCACGACAACTGTCATGGTTCCTTGTAAGTAATCTTCTTAGCCAGTTACTATTAATCACAGAAAAGCTTCCAGTTTTAGATAAATATAATTATAAAAACTTAGCGGTGGAGATTTAAGTATAAAAATATTATTAGAGATATCATATCAGGTAGCAAATTGGTCAGTAATATAGAAGTGACACCTTCTCAGCGAAGATAATATAGTTTGAGTTCACGTTTCAATGGTCCATCTTCATAGAACCACATATATTCTTGAATGAGCCATAGATATATTGCTTTATGCTATAGTTTCATGAGTAACACAAGCTATATGTATGTGATCATTGGTGATTTTAGAGAGAGAATACCACATGCTATTAATAAGTCACTTAGGCCAACCAAATTGTGGTGAAGGAAGGCCAGTAATTTCTAATACATGAATGATTGTATAATTGTTGAAGTTGCCGTGGAACTATAAGCGGTGTCCCCTACGTATGCACCATATTACTGACATGTTGCACATAAGGCGTGCTAAGCATGTCAGGGTACATTTGTGGGTAGACGGTGGCGTAGTATTTATGATTTATTATGATAGTCATGACAAGTGTGATGGTTCCTTGTAAGTAATCTTCTTAGTCGGTTGCCATTAATAACAGAAAAGATTTTGGTTTTAGATAAATATAATTATAAATACTTAGCGGTGGAGATTTAAGTATAAAAGTATTATTAGAGATATCATATCAAGTAGCAAAATTGGTTGTTAATAATTGCAAATTTTGTTGTTAATATGGAAGTTCCACCTTCTCACCGAAGATAACATCGCTTGCATACATGCTTCATTGCTCCATCTTCATAGAACCACATATATTCTTGAATGAACGGTAGATATTATAGTTTCATGAGTAAAACAAGATATATGTATGTGATCATTGGTGATTTTAGATAGAGAATACCATATGCTCTTAATAAGTTTATTAGGACAACCAAATTGTGGTGAAGGAAGGCCAATAATTTCTGATGCATGAATGACTGTACAATTGTTGAAATTGCCATGTAACGACAAGCACTGTCCCCTACATATCCACCATATGTACGAACATGTTGTACATACGGTGTGCTAAGCATGTCAGAGTACATTTGTGGGTAAACGGTGGCGCCGTATCTATGATTTATTATGATAGTCATGAAAAGTGTGATGGTTTCTTGTAAGTAATCTTCTTTGTCGGTTACCATTAATCGTGGAAAAGCTTTCGGTTTTAGACAAATATAATTATAAAAACTTAGCGTTGGGGATTTAAGTATAAATTTTTTATTAGAGATATCATATCAGGTAGCAAAAATGGTTGTTAATACTGGCCATAAAAAGTAGTTGTTAATATAGAAGTTCCACCTTCTCACCAAAGACAACATCGCATGAGTGCACGTGTCATTGCTCCATCTTCAGAGAGCCACGTATATTCTTGAATGAGCGGTGATATTATAGTTTCATGAGTAAAACAAGATATATGTATGTGATCATTGGTGATTTTAGAGAGAGAATACAAGATGCTCTTAATAAGTTACTTAGGCCAACCAAATTGTGGTGAAAGACGGTCAGTAATTTCTGATGCATGAATGACTATACAATTGTTGAAGTTGCTATGTAACGACAAGCGGTGCCCCCTACATATATCCACCATATGTATAGACATAAGGTGTGCTAAGTGTGCTAGCTTACCTTTTTGGAAGACGGTGGCATAGTATCTATGATTTGCGACAGTCATTACAAGTGTTATGGTTTCTTGTAAGTAATCTTCTTAGCCGGTTACCATTAATCATGAAAAAGCTTTCGGTTTTAGATAAATATAATTATAAAAACTTAGCGGTGGAGATTTAATAAGTATAAAAATATTATTAGAGATATCATACCAAGTAGCAAAATGGGTTGTTAATACTTGCAAATTTGGTTGTTAATATAGAAGTTCCACCTTCTCACCGAAGATAACATCGCTTGAGTGCACGTTTCATTGCTCCATCTTCATAGAACCACGTATATTCTTGAATGAGGAGTAGGTAGTATAGTTTGATGAGTAAAACAAGATATATGTATGTGATCATTGGTGATTTTAGAGAGAGAATACCAGATGCTCTTAATAATAAGTTAATTAGGCCAACCAAATTGTGGTGAAGGAAGGCCAGTAATTTCTAATGCATGAATGATTGTACAATTATTGAAATTGCCATGTAACGACAAGCTGTGTCCCCTACGTATCCACCATATGTACCGACTTGTTGCATGTAAGGTGTGCTAAGTGTGCTAGAGTACCTTTGTGGGCAAATGATGGAGTAGTATCTATATTTATTACTGCCTTAATGAGTGTCATGGTTCCTTGCAAGTAACCTTTTTAGTCGGTTACCATGAATCATGGAAAAGCTTTTAAATAGAGATACCATATCAGATAGCAAAATTAATTATTAATATAGAAGTGCAACCTTCTCACTGAAAATGGCATAACTAGTGTGCACCATTTCATTGGTCCACCTTCATAGAACCACATATATCCATGAATGAGTAGTGCATATATTATTTTCTGCTATAGTTTTAGGGGTAAGACAAGCTATATGTATATGATTATTGGTTATGTTAGAGAAACAGAATGCTCTTAATAAATTACCTATGCCAACTAAATTATGGTGAAGTAAGCTAAGTTACAATAAAACCACCATAAAGATACCAAATATCATTGTAGTAGAGATATGTTACCCTTTCGTTTTGCTTTTTGATAGATTAGGGTGCATGAATGATTGTACAAGTGTTGGAGTCACCGTATAACGACAAACGATACCTCCTATGTACACGTGTGTATAGACAGGTTGCACGTAAGGCATATTGTC